CAGCTCTCCTGGGAAGTTTACTGTGGCTGTGGAGATATTTGCTATTCTGGCCTCCAGTTTTGGTTTAATACTGTGTATATTTGCTCCAAAGTGTTTTATCATATTGTTTAAACCAGAGAAGAACACCAAGAAACATGTAATGAACAAAACTGTATCTTAGTACCTACTATTTTTGATGTTAGGAAATAGTTCAAATGGATTAAAGCTGGATTGATTTAGCACAAAATGAAGTATAAAAAAGTTTATAAATGTTTTCTCCCTGCTATACTACACCCTCCACCTCACTCTCCTATCTCCAGGCCTTGTGTGTTGTGTTGTAATGAACAAAAATGCATCCTAGTACCTAATATTTCCAAAGTTTGGAAATAGCTCCAATGGCAAGATACATCAATGAGTTTATGCTGTCCATATTTACCACAATCAAGATATTACTTTAAATATTTCTTCTTTTTTGGTCATTGTTATATTATTAGAGTTTCATTTTTGGTTAAATGTGTATGCCATTTTATGAAAATCCCTTTAATTTGTTTGTAATTGTCTGTATCTTCAGCTTCCTGACTGAGATAAACATTTAAAATGATTTGACTGAAATTGTGTTGAATGAGCACACACATACAGTGATTGCCCCAGTGACTGCTGATTTATGTGACTTTTTATATTGCAAAATCTCTTTAACTGACAGCAAGAGCAAAATTATCAATAACTATAAAATTACCATACCCACAACAGCTGGACCCAAATACATTATAACAAGTGTTTAAAAAAGGTATAAAAACTTGTTATGGGGTTTGGTGAAAGGGCGAAGCCACCCTGGGGGTTGAGGGTGGAGCAGTCAAATCTTACAGTGGTTAAGTTTCACCGGAAGAACACACCCTGGGACCGTAACCTCTTTGTTTCTTCTACAGAGAACAGACAGATGGTGAACATGAATGGGTTGTAAACTTGAGTATTACTGAGGCAATATTCTATGAGAGGGCCCATGAGACATAAATCATATAAATTTAAGCTATTATGACAACCCAATAGATAACACACTGTCAGTGTCAAATAACTGAAGATACGGTATGTGTTTATAACATGACTTGATCTAAACCCTTCTAAAATTAAAAAATTACAAGTGATACAGCCCCTTTCAGGAAACTGAGAATTTGAAACTTCTTTACCAAACTGAAAGATGGTGCAGTGATGAGCACTGGTGCTTGAATTGTATCATGATTTGATCCAAATGCATCTGAAGTACCAGGATGTGAGGATGCTGAATGCTGTCCATTACCTAATAAAAATCGTTGATCTTTTATTTTGAAGTAATATTTTACAGGGAATGCTGAACTTTTGCCTCTCAGTCAGAAGATCAGGGTTTAAAATCTACATGGATATATGCATGTTTTGAAATTTGAATCCTATTTTCTTTTCAAAGCTATTAAATTCTTCCATAATTAACAAACTCTTGTTGTCAAGTAACTGCATATATGTGATTGAAATATGACTTAATCCAAACTCGTGAAATTCAGTTTAACAGGGGATACAATTTTTCTGCAAATTTTACAGCTGCTAAGAATTGCATCCCCTTTTGTTAAAGCTATTGAGACTTAAGACTACAGCGTGCAAAGTGCTATATCATTCGGTGGTCAGCACTGTTGTCTTCCAGCCAGAAAGTGATGGGTTCACAGCCACATAAACACACTGATGTAATTCCATCAACATTTACCATTGTTTAGGCTATTATGATGATTCTGTAGTTATCCCATTGTCAGTGTCAAATAACTGCGGATATGTGTTGATAACTTGATTTAATTCAGATCTTTATGAAATGAAATTTTACAGGCAATGCAGACCTGGAATGCTATTGAGCTTAAAGGTGCTCCAGTGGTCAGCATTGTTGTCTGAACTAAATTTCTGCAGTTTTCTATTTCACTGTCCTTGTATCCACGTTATGAACAGAGCTGGGAGGCCAGGTGATGTGTCAGCCAAACTCTGTTGCTCTTGATGGGCATGTGTGCTCACAGGTGACAGTGGAGGCTGCCTCAGAGTGGTGCTGGCCAACAGGTCCAGGAAGGAACAACTTCCATCTCCTCTTCAGGTGTTCTTCCTCTTTGCTCATACATCCTTTGTGTTTCTGTATAGTAGTTTGAAGAGGCCTCTTATCAAACACCCTCTGCCACTGCCTAAGACAAGAGACAAGTCAAAAGGCAAAATATGTCATCAAAACAAACAGTACAAACTACTTTTGTGTATAATCATAGATGTCAACACAACACGAAAACATTATCACATTATGGTGTAGCTTGCTGCCTTGTAGTAGCTGAAATTTTTATGAACTTAATGACAAAAGTGACTAACTTAAACATTATGTGGGATCAACTAAATTTATACTCTCAAGTATTGACAAGTGTCCTGATAATCAGAGAATAACACTGAGCATTTTACTGGAATTTAACAGTAACTAGAAACTTTGGAATCAGCCATTTTATCATTTTTCTGACTTTTTTTTTTTGGTAATGGCATTCACTTTAATAGCTGATGTAGTGCACAGTTCAGTTGAAGGAGGGAAGCATTTGTCTGATATGCTATATAAACAAGTGAATACACACTTAGGCACACATGCACTTGAGGGATGGAGATCTCCTCTCTCTTTATTGGTCTGAGATTGGCTCTGGGTTTGTTTGAGCTGAACTCAGCTCTAACTATAAATAATTGTGGGGATGGTCTAAAACATAGAGCTGAGTGTTTGGAGGTTAGGGCTGGTGCAGGTTTCAGTACTGAGGCTTCATCTGTGATGTGTGAGCTGCTGGGTACTGCTCGTCTACCTGCATTCTCAGTGGATGGTGACTATGTTATTGGAGGTGTTTTCTCAATACACTATAACACACAGAAAGTGAAGCATAACTACACCACCAGATCTGAGCCACTACAGTGCACAGGGAGGTCAGTAAGCAGGAGAAGTGGAGGATAAAAGGATGTGACTGTGTCGGACTGAGTTGTTTTTGTTCATATTACTATTAAAATCTTTTGCAATGCATTTGTGTAGAATTGAAAAGTGAAATAAAATATTTTCTTTTCTTTTTATTTCACATTAACATCCAAATCAGTGGGCCTATTAGGTCATAAACATTGCAAATATTATAATCACAAATATGTTAGAATGTAGCTATGTGAAGTGAAGAAGCATTTTTGTGTTTCCTAACTAAAAGTATAGTTGTGCTGGAGAACTTTGGTGCTTACAAATGCAGTGCAGCTTTCAGATGTTGTTCATAACTAGGAATTGCAATTGTCCTTCATTGTGTACTTTCTGTTAAAATTAATAACTGTTCTTATCATATACAGTCTACATTTCAACAGTAACTTGAATATCTGTTTGCAGTATTGATGCTGTAGTACTTAAAATCTCACGTGTAATGGTCTTTGCCATTGAGGAGATTAACAACAGTACAAAGCTGCTGCCGGGCATCAGGCTCGGTTATCAGATCCATGACTCCTGTGCTTCAGTGACTGTGGCAGTGCATGCAGCATTCCAGCTTTCTAATGGCCTGGATCCTGTGTTTTATACTGGTGCCAATTGCTCAAAATCTAGTACAGTGATGGCTGTTGTTGGTGAGTCTGGGTCCACACCATCCATAAGCATTTCACATGTCATCGGACCCTTTAATATTCCTCAAGTAAATATTTTAAATTACTGCCAAACTATGTGTTTAAAATATGCCCATGCTGCTTCGACTGTCCCATTACATAATTATCCTACTGCGTTCCTTCTCTTCAGGTGAGCCACTCTGCCACTTGTGCATGCCTATCTGATAAGCGTCAGTACCCGAGTTTCTTCAGAACAATCCCCAGCGATCAGTTCCAGGCTGTGGCACTGGCCAAGCTGGTAAAACACTTTGGCTGGACTTGGATAGGTGCTGTCCGGTCAGATTCAGACTATGGGAATAATGGCATGGCGGCTTTCCTGGATGCAGCACACAAAGAGGGGATCTGTGTTGAATACTCTGAATCTTTCTATCGGACCCACCCACGTAGCAGGATCCAAAGAGTGGCTGATGTTATCCGCAGGTTTCTACATCTCTTGACTGTGCTTGTCTTTCCTGTGCTGACACTGCATTTTTGCACACAAAACCACAAGATTTAGTCAAAGAGAGGATTAGACGCTTATTTTAATATTTCAGTGACAAATTGGCAGTTATTTTTGCTATCATACAATAAAAATTAGTAATTGAGACAAAATTATATATTCTGCAGTCAAAAAGTTTTGAGTAGACTTTTGTGTTATTAATTTAGAAACATATTTCATATCAATTTCAAATAATTGTATTTATTGGAATTCCTATGTACATTGTATTGTATAATAAAATGCACTGTAATGTTCTTGCAGTTCAACAGCTAGGGTTGTTGTGGCATTTTCAACCAATGGTGACATGGGCATCCTGCTGGAGGAGCTGTCTCGTGAGCCTTCCCCACCTCGCCAGTGGATAGGCAGTGAAGGCTGGATAACCCATCCAGACATGCTGAGGTTCACGTTCTGTGCTGGAGCAATCGGATTTGCCATTCAAAAAGCTGTCATCCCAGGTCTGAGAGACTTCCTGCTGGACCTCTCTCCCACTAAAGTTGCAGCTTCTCCAGTTCTGACTGAGTTCTGGGAGGATGCATTCAACTGCAGGCTGGAACAAAGTACAAAAGTTGAGCTAATTCCTTGTGGTTGTGCTGTTTTGTTCACTTTATGACTACAGTGTTATATAAATTAAATATATATGCGTATATAAATTTCAACAAGGTGCATTTGATCATTTTAATAGGAAAAATATAATCAAGAAAGGAACAATGTAACATAATTTTCAAGGATAAACAACCTGCCCCTGTCTCTATGTTTTTAGGTTCTGCCACTGACAAGAAGGTGTGTAATGGAAGTGAAGACATACGGAAGCTCCAGAGCCCGTACACTGACACGTCTCAGGTCCGATCCGATAACATGGTGTACAAGGCTATTTATGCAATAGCACATGCCATTCATAATGCAGTGTGTCAGGAGACAAATTCTACACCTCAGTGTGACAAACTCACCAGGACAGAGCCCAAACAGGTCAGTTAAAGGGAATAAATGAACACTTGAGCTTTTGTTTAGCTTAAAAAATGTATTCATTTATACAATGTGAAAGAACAGCTTTGGACAAATATATAAAGTGGTTTTATTTACAAGTTATTGTACTGGAGGTATTTGCTGTAACCCTGTTAAACAAACAGTGTGGAATTTGTTTTGTGCCAAAAGGATGAATATTGCTATGGATGTAAAGTACTAAAAGTAGAAGCAGGGTTTTTTTCAATAAGGACTTATAACAGATTGATATAGCTGATCTCGGCATAAATTAGTGACTCTGACTTGCCCATAGGAGTGAGTGTGGTTGTCTCTTTCTTAGTGTCAGCCCTGTCATAGACTGGTGACTTGTCTATGACAGGGCTCTACCCCGCCTCTCGCCCCATGTCATCAGCTGGGATTGGCTCCAGTATCCTCCATTGGAATGTCATGGAGCATCTAAAAGTGATCTGAAGAGATCCTCACACACATGCAAACACACACACACACACACTGAGACACATACCCTTACAAAAATGTAAATCTTAAGATAATGAAAACAATATCGAAATTTCCAAAACGAGTTAACGCAATATACATGCACTCAGATACACACACACCCCTAAGGACACATATTAGGATGAGACAAAAGTATATAGTGATCAAGATTTCAGCTGAACTTACACCGTGTCTTCTCTACTTAAGTTTGTGAAAAGGTACATTAATGGTCAGATAAAAATCTGCAACAACAGACATGAATTAGCTGTTAATAAATGTGATGGTCCAGGGGAAGAAACTGTCCTTGTGTCTGGTTGTTTTGGCATACAGTGACCTGTAGCACCGTTCAGAGGGGAGGAGTTCAAACAGTTTGTCACCAGGATGTGAGGGTTCTGCAGAAATCTTCTCTGGTCTCCTTCTGACCCATTAGGTATACGGGTCCTCCATGGAGGGCAGGATGGCACAAAGGATTGTTTCTGCAGTCCTAACTATCTACTGGAGTCTGTTCCTGTCCTATTTGGTTGCTGAACCAAACCAGACAGAGATGGATGGGCAGAGAACAGACTCAATGATTCCTTTGTAAAATTGAATCAGCAGCAGGTTGAACCTCCTGAGTTGGCACAGGAGGTACATCCTCTGCTGTGCCTGTGCTGACAGTCTGGGTGCTGGATGTGAGTTTCCCCAGCCTCATATGCTGCTTCTTGTTTGTCAGAAAGCTTGCGATCCACTGACAGGTGTGGGCAGGCACAGTGAGTTGGGTGAGTTTGGAGTGAAGTTTGTCTGTGATGATGGTGTTGAACGTCAAGCTGAAGTATACAGAGAGGACCCGTGTATAGGTCCCTGGGGAGTCAGGGTCTTGCAGGTTGTAATGCAGTGCCATGTTGACTGTGTCATCCACTGACCTGTTTGCTCAGTAGGCAAACTGCAGGAGGTCCAGCTCTGGGCCTGTGATGTCCTGAAGGTGAGTTATCACCAGTCTCTCAAAACACTTCATGACTACAGATGTCAGGGCGACAGGTCAGTAGTCATTCAGTCTACTAGTGGTACTAGTGAAGGGTTTTTTGGGAACTAGTATGATAGTAGAGCACTTGAAGCACGGGGGGACTACATAAAGCTCCAGTAATCTATTGAAGATCTGTGTGAAGATGGGGCCCAGCTGATCAGCAGCAGAAATCTACATTTTATTAAAGAAAACATTTATTTTTTGTACACTTTTTGTTTCATTGTCTCAGATGCTTATGTCTTTCATCATCCTCACAGGTTCTTACTCAGCTGAAGAAAGTAAAATTTTCCCAGAATGGTTATCATGTGTCATTTGATGCCAATGGGGATCCTGTGGCCACATATGAGCTGGTTAACTGGCAGAAAAGTGAGAGTGGCAGCATTGTGTTGGTGACCGTTGGGTATTATGATGCATCACTGCCACTGGGCCAGGAGTTACATATGAGCAGGAACCTCACCTGGGCAGAGGACAGCACACAAGTGAGGAGCAATAATATAGTGTTAAATCTTGGTGAAATGAATCATACCATCTTTAGCAAAAGTACAAATCTGTGTGATTTTGTCTATGTACTGTATGTGGCAGGTACCTGTGTCAGTGTGCACTGACAGCTGTCCTCATGGAACTCATAAAGTGCTGCAGGAAGGAAAACCCATCTGCTGTAATGATTGTGTCCCATGTCCTGAAGGAGAAATCAGCAATGTTACAGGTAAAATAAGATGGTTTTTCATGCATGTCAACCATATCAAATGTGTTACTTCTCAAAACAATGGTTTGATTTAATCTTTCAGATTCCTCAGATTGTTTCCCTTGTCCTAAGGAGTTCTGGCCTAATGCAAACAGAGACACATGTTTCCCCAAGCCTGTTGAGTTTCTTTCCTTTGATGAGGTCCTAGGAATCATCCTGGCTGCATTCTCAGTTGGTGGTGCCTGTCTAGCCATTATAACAGCCAGTGTATTCTTTCGACACAGAACATCTCCAATTGTCAGGGCCAACAACTCTGAGCTGAGCTTCCTGCTGCTCTTCTCCCTGACTCTCTGTTTCTTATGTTCATTAACTTTCATTGGAGCACCCTCTGAGTGGTCCTGCATGCTGCGCCACACAGCGTTTGGGATCACCTTTGTCCTCTGCATCTCTTGTGTTCTTGGTAAAACTATAGTGGTGTTAATGGCCTTCAGGGCTACACTTCCAGCCAGTAATGTGATGAAATGGTTTGGGCCTGCACAGCAGAGACTCAGTGTCCTGGCTTTCACTCTCATCCAGGTTGTTATATGTATCCTCTGGTTAACTATTTCTCCTCCTTTTCCATTTAAGAATTTTACCCAGTTCAAGGACAAAATCATCTTAGAGTGTGCTCTGGGATCAGCTGTAGGCTTTTGGGCTGTACTTGGGTACATAGGCCTTCTGGCCATCTTATGTTTTATTCTGGCTTTTCTCTGATAATTTTAACGAAGCCAAGTTGATCACTTTCAGTATGCTGATATTCTGTGCAGTCTGGATCACTTTTATCCCAGCATATGTCAGCTCTCCTGGGAAGTTTACTGTGGCTGTGGAGATATTTGCTATTCTGGCCTCCAGTTTTGGTTTAATACTGTGTATATTTGCTCCAAAGTGTTTTATCATATTGTTTAAACCAGAGAAGAATACCAAGAAATATGTAATGAACAAAAATGCATCCTAGTACCTTCTATTTCTGAGGTTTGGAAATAGTTCAAATGGATTAAATCTGGACTGATTTAACACAGATAAATGCTGTCCACATTTGCTGCAACTTATTTATTACACAAAAAAAAATTTTTTTTGGTGATTGTTATGTTATTGTAGTTTCAGTTATTACTACATGTGTGTGCCATTTTCTGACTATTCTTTAAATATATTATTGTGTAATTGTGTGTCTATGCTAAATAAATGTTTACAATGATTTGACTGAAATCATGTTGATTTTGTACACTCTTACATGTTCATTGATTGCCTAAGTGACTGCTGTTTTATGTGACTTTTTCACAATATCTTTAACTGACACATTGATAGCAAATTTAGCACTAGCTATTGTCACAACTGGGTACTGGTGGTGGACACAATGTACTCAGACACACACCAGGAGTGGAACACAAACAGAGTTTTTTGAACAACAAGGACAGGTTACTGGGTGCAGGAGAGATAAGGCAAAGGTAGGGCACGTATTGGCTGGAAAGGCTAGGCAGAAGAAGAGCAGGTACTGGGAGATGAGGTGATATGGCTGTAGGGTGGCAGATGGCTTGAGAGTTATGGCACTCGTCTCTACGAGGAAGGAGCTGGATGGGTTGCAGGAGTGAAGGTGAGTCACCACACAGGTAAGCTGAAGCACTGGTGCTCATGGAGAGATGATGAAGGAGTTGGTGAGTCGTCATGCAGGTAAGCTGAAGTACTGGCATTCACGGAGAGATGGCGTGGTGAGTTCACTCAGGTAGTGGAGACACTACCAAAACAAAACAACCGGGTCCCAAACACACTGTCCAATAGTATAACATTGTCCAAAACCAAAGGGGGGGGGGGGGGGGCGGGACATACTAGGCAAAGTTCAGGGTCCCTAACGTCCCATAATCAAAAACCAAAAGCCACCACCCATGGGTGATCCATGAACCCCTAACACAACAGGGTGGCTGGAGTCTCAGGCACCGGCCGAAAGTCACAGCCACTCCAGCAGACGGACCAGAGACCAGGTCAGGAACAGGAGAGACCACCCGGGAGGTCATCCTTGGAGCCAGGTAGGCAATTGACAAGGCCGCTTGGGAGGGCAACCTCTATGCCAGGCAGGAGTTTGGAGAAGCCACTCGGGAGGATGGCCTCAACACTAGGCAGGAGACTGGAGAGGCCACTTGGGAGGATGGCCTCAACACCAGGCAGGAGATCGGAGAGGCCGCTTAGGAGGACAGCCTCAGAGCCAGGCAGGAGAATGGAGAGACCACTCGGGAGGGCAGTTTCGGAACCAGGCAGGAGATCAGAGCGGCCTGTCAGGAGGACAGCTTTGACAGCAGGCAGGAGATTGAAAAGTCTGATTGGGAGGATGGCCTCGCAACCAGGCCGAGAGTCAACGAACTGCTCAAGAGGGTGGCCACGGAACCAGGTGAAGGAACACAGGGGAGGCTGTTCTGGAGGATGACCACCAAACCAGGCAGATGACCATAGAGGAGGCTGTTCCAGAGGACAACCACGAAACCAGACAGTAGACCGCAGATGAGACCACGCTGGAGGACAGCCTCGGAACTAGGTAGTGGATTGCAGAGAAGACCATTCAGGAGGTCAGCTGCAGCACTGAGCAGCTGGGAGGACGGCCACAATGACGAGGACAATGGACTGACGAAGTAGCCATTTGGAAGGGCGTCCATGGCACCAGACCACCATCAGAGGCTGGGATGAAGCCGGTGGAGAGAGAAGTAGCAGGACTGATGAAGAACTGGCAGGACTGATGAGGCACAGACTGGCTGGGTTGATTAAGTGCAGACTGGCAGGACAGATGATGTGCTGACTGACAGGGATGAGGAAGTACTGACAGGCAAGGTCAATGAGGTGCTGACAGGCAAGGCCAATGAGGTGCTGACCAGCAGGGCTGAGGATAGGGGCAAGGCCATGTTGGCCCACTCAAGAACTGGGAGTGTTGTCATTGTTGTTGTTGTCCCCCTCAGGAAGCAGGACTGATGCATGGTCAATATTGCCATCGAACCCCTCAGGAAGCAGAAATGGGGTGGCGTTGACCCACTCAGGAGCTGGAAGGAAGGTGGTGTCATCAACCCACTTGGGAACTGTAAGTAGGACCACTTCAGCATCATTGTTGTCCCATTCAGGAAGCAGGACAGCTGATGGTATGATGACCCCCTCAGGAACAAACTCAGAGAAGGTGTTGGTGGTCCAACCGACCCGCTCAGGGACAGGCGCAGAGACCTTAGCTGGCATGTCCTTGTTGGCACACTGGATCTGTGATCTCGGCGGGAATACTCTCATCGGCACACCTGGGGATTACAAACTCAGTGGGGATGTCTTCAAGGCCAGGCTGAGGGACAGGAACAAAGGCACTGTCAACAGTGCAGCCAACCCACTTGGGAACAGGCTCGGATCCCTCAATGCTGGATTCTTTGTCAGCACACCTGCGATTAGCTGCATCAGAGTGGACATCACCATTTGCAAACTGGGGTGCCGGGACTGACTGCGGTGGTCGCCGCCAATGCCTATGGTTGCCACTCGATGGGACGGGGTGCAGCCATGGCCCAGTGGCTGGTGAAGGTAGTGGGACTCAGGAACCGGTGAGGGCAGCAGCGGCTCAAGAATAGGCAGAGACGGAGGCTGCAGCTGGGGAATAGGCAAAGATGGAGGTGGTAGCTGAGGAAAAGGCAGAGATGAAGGCTGTGACTGAGGAACAAGAAGGGAAAGGGCAGATGCCATCTGGGCCTTCAGTTGCCATCGAATTGCTTGGGCTCCTGCTGGATTCAGGCAGGTCTCCCCAGGCCAAGACTGGGGGTTACAGGCAGGCTGGGGCTCAGGGACAGAGGGGAACTACTGCAGTGTTGAGGCTGTCATAGTGCAGCCTTTCGTCCTGGTCTTCCCTTTCCTTGGACTCCCAGGACAGAGGGCCAAATGGGTTCCCTCAAAGGGTGAGAATTTGGGGTCTGGGACCATAGTATGGTGGAATACATCCTGCACCGGGGAAACAGGCACCATGCCTAGCCGAATGGTGGGGAGAATTGTTGGAGGGGTCCTGACCTGAGGGTTGTCCCTGCCGGACCTGGACATTGGAACCCAGGTGGGCTGGAGCCTCACAACCGGGGGTCTGGGGGCCACCTGGGGATGGAGGAATGCATGGCATAGAGGCTCTCTCAGTTTCTGAAGGGTGCCATGGAACTCCACCCCTAGGTGCCTGTAGTCGCCTCAGGTGGGAATAATCATCCAGTAAGTGGACCCCTTGCTCCATCAGTTCACCAGATGAACTGATGGAGTAACCCCCTGATGCTGCTGATATACTGTAACTGCTGTAGGAGTTGTCTCATCTTCACGAGTTCCTCACACTCGGCTGTGTGTCGGCTGGGCCCATTTTGGGCTGGTTCATTTTGTCATGACTGGGTACTGGTGGTGAACCCAATGTACTTAGACACACTCCAGGAGTTGAACTCAAAAACAACAAGGACAGGTTACTGGATGCAGGAGAGATAAAGCAGAGGCAGAGCGGGTACTGGCTGGAGAGTCGATGCAAATGCAGGGCACGTACTGGCTGGAAAGACAAGGTAGAAGAGCAGGTACTGGGAGATGAGGCGATATGGCTGCAGGGTGGCAGACAACTAGAGAGGTATGGCACAGAGAAACAAGCAAGGGGCTGGCTGGCTTGCAGGAATGAAGGTGAGCTGCCACACAGGTAAGGTGAAGCACTGGCGCTCACAGAGAGATAAAGAGGTAAGTTTATTCCGGTAGCAGAGACACTGACAAAGAGAAACAAAGAGGTGAATTCACTCAGGTAGCAGGGATGCTGACACTCAGGGTGAAACGAAGAGGAAGGAGCTGTCACAGCGTTGTTCAGGTATGAGGGAGCCAGGATCTTGTTTAGGAGAGAAACGTGCAAAGAACTGGTGAAGAGCACAGGAGAGATGACAATGAACCAGTGGGGAACTAGCAGAAAAGGGGCATATATGTGGGAAACTGAACCAGGAGATAATGAGCAGCAGGTGAATGCAACAATGGCTGGCTGAGGACATCACAGTGGAGACAGGGAAAAACAATGAAAAACAGGAAGTGTAAGTTTGTGGGTCAGGACAGCTATGGAATCACCATGCCCACTTTTAGGGAGAATACACTGGGTTGAAAAAAAATCATTTAATTAAATGAGCCCAGCCA